ACAGAATAATTCAAGATAGAAAAAACAGTCTTGTGTTTCACTTGATATGGGACATAAAATGAGGTAGATCAACATCTTGGACATAACTTATTTTCATAAGAAAAAAATTTAGTTTTTTTTTTATGCAAAAAGTTGTAATAACATTGAATAAAAACACAAAATTATTAAATTAGATGCTTAACATAACACTTTCATATAGATAAATATAGGACCTATGAGGCACCTACTTAAAAGTACATTGATAAGTTTCTCGTACAAAAAAAAAATGGTTAATGACACTTTCAAGAGGATTAACGGCATTTCAAGCCCTGGTAAGGTTCCAAACGCACTTCTACCACTTGTTCCACTTCTGGAAGACCTTACATTATATCATCAGATCTTGATTTTTACAAATTCTATCTTGGTAGGTCATGTATCTCTATTACTATGGATTTCATAAATGAAGTAGTTAATGATGGGGTTACCATTATCTCTTTCTTAAGAAAGTCCCCGAGATAATGTAGTGGAAGGCTTAGTTGATCAATGATTTATGTTTCATCTTTTGTTTCCTTTTCGTTTGTTTCGAAAAATATATCGATCAATTCCGATTGTATATGTATATTCTCTCTCTCTCTCTCAATACACACATATATGGAGAAGTTTATTTGAGAATCATAAAAAGATTGTGAATTAAAGAATTGTATATTCATTAGTTTATATGCACCAATGAATATACATATTCTTCAATTCTCAAATTTTTTGTGAATCTCAAATGAACTTTATATATATATATATATATATATATATATATGAATATATTCATTGATGAAATACATACTTACAAGTCCGTTCATGATATTTATAGGTCTTGAACGTTAGATAAAAAAGTACCTCGATAAGTACGCAAAGAAAAATCAATTTAATTATTGTTTTTGTAATCCGAAATAACATTGAATTCAAAAAATACTAATGATTCATATAATACATTTTTTTCCAATTATTTTTAGACGCAAAATCAATAAATACTTACTTCTAAATTAATATTATCTATCATATCATTTATACAAAGTATCGAAAATCCGTTCCAAAACCAAACATATTCTATGGTATACCTTTAGTATATAGATTAACATTTATATAAATCAATATAAATCATTTATCTTTTCATATCATATCATGTTAATGTTTTCAAAACAAATTTAAACTTTTTTAGGGTTAAAACATACTTTTTAGAAACCACCGATCGTAGAATCAAAAGTCAAAATTTTGGTTATAGCTTGAGATCTTATTCTTATTTAGAGATATGCAAGCACTTAAATTATTTCACTCAATATTAGGTAATAACTAATAAAAGTCAATAATATATGAAAAAACGAGGGTAGTTTTGAAATCCTAAATATAGATATAAGTTGAATCGTCTCATATGATTGATAAATTTTTTTCATAATCTATAGGACTTTTCTTAGTTAATAACAAGAAATCTACTATATTCTAATACAAAAATAAAAATTCACGTGGAGGGAATAATCAAAAGAGTTGGTGCGAGATTAATGATGAAGAATATATATTAATATTTTGTAGCCAAAGTAGTTTTAGATTTTACTAATATATACGTTTTTTAGAGAAAACAGTAAAAAATAATGTATAATGAGCAACCATTGATCTTTTTCACATAAGGCTAAATTCTTTTTGGATCATATTAGAAACCAAAAAGCTTGGAGGTTATTTACCAAACGTGGTGTTGGTTCACAAACCATTGTGATCGTCAAAATCTGCCCCATTAATTATATATATATATATATATATATATATAGGAACGTTCAAATAAAAACTTGATCCCTTTGTGTAAACCGTGTAAACCAATCTCATCCATTCATTTTTTTGATCAATGGCTAAGATTACATTACTTTATTTTAGGAAATTAAAAATTAAAAAATAATTAATATTTATTTTATTTCATCAATAAGGGTAAAATCGGTAGACAAATTTAATTCATAGTATTTTTTATTCAAGGCARCCATATCAGSTAAATTATAWTATTAATGAAATTGATTCACTTTGTGAAGTAATATACTATTTTAATGTTAACATTTTTTAAAATAATATCCATCAATAAGTTATATCAAAATCAAAACACAACATATTCACTAACGTATAATGAATAATTTCATAAAAAA